ATCAATTCATAAATCTGTACTTGGGTTCATACAATCAGACCTAGCATACAAATCTAGGGTTCTCCATACCCAGCTGAATGGGGAAACTACTCCATAGAGAAAGAAGCAAAAGCAGATTCAGACGCGGAAATCATACTGTGAAGATGGATTTCTGCTCCTGGACGTTAATCGGCACTTCTCCAAGCTCAAGTCGGGCTCCAATGGTGATGAAGATCAAGCTATGGCACTTGGGAACTCTGGTTCGTCGCTTTCTCTCTCTAGGAATCGCTTTCTCTCTCAAAAACTCGGAACCCTTGAATGTTGGCCTTCTTCTTCCTTAAATTGGCTGCCTGTCGCGATACCCGGTCGAAATACCCGGCGGGTATTTCGGGTCTCGACCGGGTATTATTCAAAACGCACGTTTCATTCGAGGGAAAATCCCCGGTCTGCTCCAATAATCCCCGACCGGGGATTTAAGCCTTCTGCCCGGGCCCCTCTCTGATCCTCACGGGCGCCCAAAAGGATAATACCCGGCCGGGTATTATTGGTCATGGCCGGGTATTTTCCTTCAGCAGCCCACTTCGTCCCAACTTTGCTCCTTTCGACCCAGAACTCGTTTTTCCGCCTCGATTCTAATGTCGGGTCCTGAAATATGACAAAAACACACAACCTAGCGTGAAATCGGCTTAAAACACGAGAATCCACATCTCAAACGGCTTCAGAATAGGGGTGAAAACATGTGTAATTATCGGTCTATCAACGTCCTTATCTGAAGAGCCAGACTGAGATGTATTATAGATCTAGATTCTGGATTCTGGATTCGAGTTTCGATTCCGAGCAGTCGTTGTATTGAAGAAATGATTCTCGCTTGAATGGCAAACGATGACCGATGATGATGTCGATGGAGCAGCGGTGTCTGGAGATTGAATTTGTTGTTGGCGGTGGTGGTTATGGAGAGGGAGACACCAGAATTTGTTCTTGCTGTTGGGAGCAGGGGAATTTGGCGAGTCCCCGTCATAGTGACCGTCTTGCACGCTAATGATGTTGTTTCATCAGCAAGTCCTCCATTTGCTTGAAGCTCCCCTTCATCTAGGTATTTATTGAGTGGTGGTTGAGGATTTTCCATTTCAAAGTGAAAACTGAATCCCACCACACTAGACATCGAGATTAGCTCTCGGATGGGTTGGGAATGGGGGATTGTACTTATGATCATACAACAATGGGCAAGAAGCTATCGCAATAGAGATCGATCAAGAAGAAGTAAGTTGCTGGTTATGGTTGGCTCTCTTCCGCTTGCTTTGCTAGTCAGAATCTATTGCCAGAAAATTCAGATGAATCATCTCCGACTCCTTCTATCCTCCTAATGATCCCCCGCCGTTAACTCTGATTGGTCACTAACGAATTCCTTCTCCGTCGAAACCTTGCCCAAAAAATCCATATCACGTCCCTCTGTTGTGCCTGTTTCTACCCCCAAAAATCCCTATATCCAGATCATCCAACTAGAGCCATCGAGTAAGAAATTGAGACCAGAGTAAGAGAGATAAAGAAACCGACGACCACTTAACCTCCACCTTGACTCTCAAATCTTAGTCGCCGTCGTATCCGCCCAGCAAGAATTGGTGTCCTGAAAAGAAGAGATTGCCAAAGGGACCGACCACGGACGACTAAACGAAGCGACATCAGATCAAATCGCTCCTCAAGCGACATCGTCGGAATCTATGAAGATGTAGAGCTTGCTGATGAAGGAGTGGGAGTCCAAGGAAAAAGATTTTCAAGAATGGTTGCGGGTGTGGGCGGAGAGGAAGCAATCAACGGAGGAGTAGGGTAAAAGAGATTGGAGAGGGAAAAGAGAACGCGTTAGGATGGTTACTTAAATTCTAGTAGCCACCTTAGCTACATTAATATCTACCATCCAGTTTTTTCTTTTTTCTATTTTTTTAATCTCACGATTATGATTGCTCGGGATAATTTTGGAAACAAAAACGAAACTACACTGGATTATTCTATATATACACAAACCCTAATTCCACCCTCTCCTCCTTCCAGCCAAACCCACACTCGCCGGCCGCCTCCTCCCCCCCCCCCCCCAACGTTCCTCTCTTCCTCCTCCACCCCTCCCCATCCCACCCCGCCCCCTCCCCCCGTCGTCCCTCCCCTCTCCCCTAACCAGCCCACCCCCTCCTCCAATCGTCCCTGCCTCCTTCCTCCTCCACCCTCCTTCCCCCCCCCCCTCTCTCTCTCTCTCTCTCTCTATATATATATATATATATATATATATGGTGATGACTGGTGTACGTCAGGCGTATACTATACGTCAGGTGATCTAGTCGTTAGATGTACTTAGATGAGCTCCGGCCGATCTCAACGGTTAATTTTTGTTTTTCATTAAATCAAACTTCGGGTTGGGGTTTAGAAAATCGGAGCCTGGGGTTTATCCATTAGAGGTTAGGGTATAGTATCATACCCCAAACTCGGTTTAATTCATGGTCTAGATAGAGATATCTCACTAGTAGTACCTGGCGTATAGTATACGCCTGACGTACACCAGTCTGACCCATATATATCGGCAATAGAGAGGAGTCGATGGACAAGCGACCTAGACCACAGAGGTCATCAAAGCAATCGATGGTGCTGGCCATCCTTTTATCTCCGACTCTCTCGCCTCAATGGTATTGTTTTTGTTGCATTGGTATTGATTTTGTTGCATTGGTATTGATTATCATGTAATGGTAGTAATTTGCATGTACTGGTATTGATTAAATCTGCAATGGTATTATTTTTTGTGAAATGATATAGATTTATATTGGTAGTTTTCGTGTAATGGTATAGATTTATTTATGCAATAGTATTGATGTTTTTCAAAGTGGTAGTGATTGTATAATGGATTGGTAGTGATTTCATGTTTTTTTTTTCTTTTGCAGAAAGTTTGAGAAAAATAAGGAAAGGGGATCTGGCTGGAGATTACAGAAGTGAGAGAAAGAAAGAGAATTGTAATTAATAGATTATTTTAACTACATAAAATAAAATTTATTAAAAAAATTGATTAATAAAATTTATTTTTCCATACCCAATGTACCCAATGTACCCTTAGTAACCATGGTGATTACTACAAAAGTAGTAATCACCATAACCCGTCCCGAGGGATAAGAGATCGTAGAATTTTTGTTTTAATTTTTTAATTTTAATTATTTTTTAAGTAATAATTAAAAATTCCACATAAAATGCCATATAAGCGCTAATTATACTTTTTTTTTTTTAAAATCTAATGGTCAAAGAAGGTCAATTTCAATATTTAGAACACAAATGTCATATTAATACTTCGGGATACAAATGACACATTCTTAATAGTTCGGGCTTTCCATTGGTATTAAGCCTAATTTTATATTTTACATTTTTGCACCTAAATTTTTTTTTGGCACAAAATAATATTTGTAAATTACAAGTTGGTACCTATATTACATCATAACAATTGAGTACCTAAAATTTTCAAAATTTACATAATGGTCCAAGAAACAAACCATCATATGATAAATGCGGTTAAGTTATTGGAGAAATTGAGGTTTTCACTAATTACAACTTTATCATAGCTACAATATGATGTAATAAAACGAAAATACTAAGTAATTTGACTAAAATTAAATGTAATTTAGACAAGAACGAGTCAAGAATGGGGAGAGTCAGGACAGGTCGGATTGATGAGAATAACTCCCCCCCCCCCCCCCCCCCCCCCCGTCCAAACAAATCAAGTAAAACAGCTCATGTCAAAATTGTCATCCCTAGCTACCACTAACTATCATTATTTCCTTGATAACTATCCTATATTTTCGTACTTAATGTCAATGACATTGGAGATAGGAATATTCAAGTTACAATTTTGATTTTTTTTTTCAAGCGTCACCTTCGCAGGTGAAACAAATAAGAGCACCGGCTTTTACATACTGCTTAAATCTGTGCTGACCCAAAAGACACACTAACAGACAAGGAAAGAAAAATCATGAAGGACACTATGAATTCCAGGATAACTAAGGGCTTGTTGTGCCACAAAATGGGAAGCCTGATTCGATTCTCGAGGTGTGTAAACAAAACGAACTCTTGGGAGGGACTCTAACATAGCGCAAGCCTCGCGTATAATTGCTTTAGCATGAGCATCATGCATTGGCCGGTTGGCCAGTTGATGTAGCATCACTTGAGCATCCCCGTGATAGTAATGTTGTGATCTTGTCTTCGCCACCGTTGAATAAGATGTATAGCTTCCCGAGCTGCAATCAATTCCACCAATGTCGGAAGATAAATGCCTGGCAAAGAACATTCGAAAGCAAACACCAGCGATCCTCCAATGCGGAAAGCAGCAAGACGTAGCCACCCTGGCGCAGCGAATTCAAAGCTGGACCCGGACAATTGTAGAAGCCCAGGACAGCAATGCAAGAACCCAGGTCGGGCAAAATAGTAAAGAAGCGAAGGAACTTTCATGGCATCCGCCACCGCCAGGTTGGATCGCTATCAATACAGACGGGTCGGTCAAGCAACCAGATTCCAGAGCTGCTGCTGGAGGCCTCCTGTGTGACCACATGGGACGATGTCTAGGAGCTTTTGCCTCTAATTTAGGCTCATGTACAATCACGAGAGCGGAATTGAAAGGTGTGGTGCAAGGTTTGCAACTTGCATGGAGTCAAGGTCATAGAAGAGTCCAAATGCGAACCGACTCCACCAGAGTTCTCAACATTCTGACCTCACCGGAACCGTACAATGGAAGATACCAGTTACTTATGAGACAGGTTCAGAGACTTCTACAGCAAAATTGGGAGGTTACTATCTCTCACACGTTTAGGGAAGGCAACAAGTCCGCAAACTATCTAGCAAACAAGGGTCACTCTCTTGATATAGGTGTTCATGTCATCGATAAGTAGGATTCGAGACTTAATTGTTGGCACCTGTATGATACTATGGGCATTGCCCAATCTCGTTTAATTTAAATGCCAGACAGGGACGCCTTTTTAGCGTCCCACTTTTTTTAAAAAAAAAAGGAAACAAGGGATCATTATTTGCGTCGACGGAAGAATCGGAGCTAATTTCCCAGCTAAGTCCTCGGCACAAAAGTTCTCTACCATGAAGAAGAGACTGCCATTCCCATGATGAATTGGACCCAGGTAGTGCATTGAGAAACGTCGAATGGTGGTAATACCGACCTTTTAGAACTCGTGCTACCAGAGAGTCGGGATTCTGTTGAATACGCCAAGTTACAATTTCCATTGATTGAACTTCATTCATGCGCGATCTTTCGCGGTTCAGGTGTCTCTCTCTGCTACACATCAAGCCAAGATCTTCTCACCAAACCTGCCAAATCCTAGCTCAATTGATCTTAAATCGCCTCACTTCCCCGCCTCATTTGGCCAAATTGGTAGAACAGTACTGTCGCTTGACCTCCGGCACCCGCCAAGCAAACTCGATCCTCGCCCAATTTCACCACCCAAACCTGTTCCTCTTCAATACTCTGATCCGATGCACCCGCCCAAAGGACTCCATCCATCTTTTCGCCACCTGGGTTTCGAGGAACAACCTGGTTTTCGACGATTTCACCTATCTCTACGTTCTGGGTTCCTGCGCGAGATCACCGTCGTTCTCGTCGTTGTTGCTGGGGAGACAGATTCAAGGAAGGGTTCTGAAACATGGGTTCATTGCGAATTTGATGATCCCGACGACTTTGATTCATTTTTACGGATGGAATAAGGATGTATATTCCGCGAGGAAGGTGTTCGATGAAATGCCCGAGAGAAGCGTTGTGACGTGGAATGCGATGATGACTGGGTATTGCTCGCAGAGAGAGAAGGCTGACGAATATGCTTATGATGGGGTAATGCTGTTTAAGGAGATGTTGGTTGTTGATGGTGAAGAGAGACCGAATGACACCACGATGGTTGGCGTGCTCTCTTCTTGTTCCCAATTGGGGATGCTTGAAACTGGAGCTTCCCTCCATGGTTACATGGAGAAAACCATTTGTCTGCTTGATATGGATGTTTATTTAGGCACTGGTTTAGTTGACATGTACTCAAAATGCGGCTGTCTGGACAGTGCTCTGAAGGTGTTTAATGGAATGCGTGTGAAGAATGTGCTGACATGGACGGCTATGGCGACCGGTCTTGCCATTCATGGGAAAGGGAAAGAAGCAATGGAAGTTTTCAACTTGATGGCAAGTTTCGGTGTTAAACCTAATCTGGTAACTTTCACGAGCTTGCTCTCAGCTTGTTGCCATGCGGGTCTAGTTGAGGAGGGGGTTCATTTGTTTGAGATAATGGAAGTTCAATTTGGTCTCCGCCCGGGATTGAAGCATTATGGATGCATCGTCCATCTTCTTGGCAAGGCTGGATACGTAAGAGATGCTTACGAGTTCGTCAAGAGAATGCCGGTGGAGCCTGATCTAGTCCTATGGAGGAGCTTACTGAGTTCATGTAAAGTCCATGGAGATGTCGATTTGGGTGAGGAAGTGGGCAAGATAGTCGTACACTCGCATCCAGAAATGATGGAGTTGAGTGAGGATTATGTAGCTTTGTCTAACATCTATGCATCAGCTGAGCGATGGAAAGAGGTCGAAACAGTGAGGAAAGTAATGAAGGTGAAGGGGGTAGTCAATAAGCCGGGATCAAGCTTAGTTCAAGGCATAAGCAATCATATCCCCTTGGGATGATACAGGTAATAAGATCATAGTAAACACTAATCAATGGTGAGATCAAAGATGAGAACTTTGGTGTTTGTCATCCTTGAACTCGATGTTAGGAAGGCAGAAGTTAAAAGATGTGGACTATGGTTACTTTTACTATTTTCCGCAGTTGACAACTTCTCTTGTTAGCCTCCTACCAGTCAAGTCAAACTAGGGACAAATCATAATCATTCGACATGATAACTTGCGTTTTGAAAATGAATACTTATTCTTGTGGGCTGTTCTATACAGGAGAGGAAGAGAGAATCCAGTTGGTAACAAAAAATTAGAGCCTCAGATACACTTATGAATGGCAGCAAGCTCAACTGAGTTCTTCACAACCACGTATCCTTTTCTGCAAATGCTCCAAGCTAGCAATTCGACGCAGAGAAGCTGTTCGGCCAATCTTGTTGCCTGTTATTGCTCCTGTTGGTCGAGCTCCATCATCTGGGTGTCCATTTTCAACTGAAGAAATATCTGACGTGCAATTGGCGGCAGGTTTGTTTGGATGGTGAGTAACATTCTGATGCTTTGGAGTTTGGATGATCATCTTGAACAGGAACGGCTGATTCTGCTGAAGTTTCAGAAGCAGTTGATGGCATGCTGGTGGACATCTCCTGCAGTGAAACATAGGGTTTAAACCTGTAATCCTTTTGACCCCTCCTCAGCCATCTTTACCTGATATACAAAACTCCAATGATAGAAGAAAGAAACCAAGTCTGCAGAAGAACCACTCTGGCTATATTGTGAAATGAGTTTACCTTCATTCTTAATGTCTCGACATCTTCTGCTTTTAGGACTCTGCTGTCAACAGCTGCTTAATTGTACTTATGGTTGATGTCGTTGAGACGTTTTAACGGAGGAATTTTCAAATCTTATTTGCGAAACTTGCAGTGTATAAAAATGTTGAATTACAGAAAGCAATAACAAGATATATTATTTGTTAGTCCTAAAAGTGATCATAATATGAACTTTAATGGATACTTAGGGCTGCAAACGAGCCGAGTCGAGTCGAGTTTTTGCTTAGCTTGAGCTCGGCTCGTTTATTAATTTTTTAGCTCGAGCTTGGCTCGAACTCGAATTTTGATAATTCAGCTCGAGCTCCAGCTCTGCTTGAATAAAAACCATCTAGCTCGAGCTCGATTCGGTAGAGCTCGATAAATGCTCATTAACATAGCTTGTCAAGCTGAGTACAAGCTCAGCTCAAGATGAGCTCGATTTAAAATCATTCTTGATGGAAAAATGTGTAAACATAAGAATTTAAATGATAGAAAGAACACTAGAAACTATAAATAACATCTAAATTTCATACACATTTGTATTAACAAGACAATGTTCATGTTTAAAAGAGTAATCCATCCTTTCACAAGCTCTAAACAAGGCAGCTCGCGAGCTTAGCTCAACAAGCCACTGAATCAAGCTAGCTCGCGAGCTTATCAAGCTGAGCATGGTCTAGCTCAAGCTTGGCTTGTTAACTAACGAGTTGGCTCGCGAGCCAGCTTGTTAAATAACGAGTCGAGTGTCGAACGAGTTTTTTCCGATTCGAACGCCGAGTTGCTCGCGAGCGGCTTGGCTCATTTGCAGCCCTATGGATACTATTAGTCTAGTATTATGACATAATATAGAATCACTACTAATCAATCCATTATCATAACCCATTAACATTCAATTTCGAATCTCAACCCAAAACTCCAAATTGTAAACCGTAACCCTAAATCCATAAACCCTAAATCATTTAAGTTAAAGTAAATATTGTATGAATTTTTGTAAAAATCATGTGTTTTCTTGTCCAATATACCACAAATGACGATTGACATCGTTTTCACATGAATCACTTGCCTAGAATGATAATTATGAGGCAAGTGCACTGAATGCACCAAAAAAAGTGAGATCACCAAAGAAATAAATGGGTATGAATTCTGAGTAATCTCAATGGTTGATTATAGTTTTCCATTAAATTGAACTTCGGGTTTAAATTTAGAGAATCTGGGCTGGGGTTCATATTTAATATTCAGATCGCGCGACCGAACTCAAAAGAATTTCAAAGAATTCGAAGATACAAATTGAAAGATTTTTCTTCTTTCAATTCTTTGTCTATACTTATTTTGATCAAAGAACAAACCCTTCTTTTCTTTTTCTTTTTAGTCATTATTCATTGAATAAGTGATGATACAATGATTCTTACTCAGGGAATCTTTGGACTACTTATATTTTATAGGTTTTACTGAATCATCGTGGTTCTAGTATGAATCTGTGGTTTTAATCGATTTATAGGATCTTAACAAGAAAAATCCTATCATAATAACGAAAACGAGGGTAAGGCTATTATCCATTACAGTTAGCGTATAGTATCGTACCCCAAACTCAGTTTAATTCATGGTCTAAATAGAGATATCTCGCTAGAAGTAACAGGAGAATAGTATACTCCAGGAGTACACCAGCATAATAAGAGAAGAATCATATTCCCTTTCATACCTGTGTACGATACCTCCGGGAAGCTAATTCTTGTTCCATCGCCGCCCCCACCGCGTCTGATATCTCGCTGACATTTGGATCCCGCGTGTGCAGTGAGAAAAGATCCATTATGGAAATATTTTCCCCGATCAGTCTAGTTTAGAAGTGAATCTGGTTCCATGAGTACCTGCCATGCTATCTTAGCCAGCAAAGGTTGGTTGAACAATTCGAACCGCAGGAACCCAAGTCCACCTTCATGTTTACTACTGCGGCATAGACGCCGTTACGACATCCATCTCATATTAGACCTTCCTTACGAGTATCACCACAAAAATTATTCCATGTGCTTGTCTAGCCGGCGACACAAAGTGACAGGAAGTTTAAGCACGCCATAAAATGAATCGGTGATAGAAACAAAGTTACTATCGGGATTAATATTTGGGGATTATGGTTTATACGAACAGAATTAGGGATTGAGATGGGATTTGGGAAAGAAGAAGAACAGAATCGGTATAAACCTTAGAGGGATTGAGAACGAGAATTGAGAGGATTTGGAGATTAGGGTTTGGAAGGCTTTTCATAATATTCTTCTTATTCTCATGACGTAATCCCAAAGTACATATATATAGCTAAAGACTAGACTAAACCTGATAAATAACCTAATACGACTCGAATACTACTAACCCTAACCATAATTATCCTACCATAATTAATAATAGAAAACTCCAACAACCATGTTTCTATCATTCTCTCCCTCTTGAGATCAACCTTGCCCTCAAGGTTGACCGACTCCACCCACTTCTCCACGTCGTCCGTGCAAATCGCGCCTTGACGACTCCATTTCTTGTGCTTTCTTTTCTTCCAATCATGCTCTAGCTCTTGACTTGACCTGTCTGTTCCTTGAATTCCCTCAGGCTCTTTAATTCTCGGCCCATGAGTAATCTCTTGCGCAGTCCCTTTTAATTCTAGCTCCGACCCACTCCTCTTATCTTCTTGGTCAAAGAGAGCCCAGTGATCTCTTTCTTCCTTGTCTGTTCATGTATGAGGTTGGACCCGGCGGTCACAATATGCTGGCCTAATTTCCTTGACTCCAACCGACGGGCCTCTTCGCCCAACGAAGGCGGCTGTTGTGCCAGCCTAGGGTTAACGAGTAGAAGGACCCAGACGCCGTCCTTCTTGTTGGAAATGTGTATGAATAGCTTTGAAAGCTATAGAGTCTCAAGTGGAAAAACTACCACATTTGTAGTTTTACTTGGTGAAATGAGTATAAAGATAGGAGCCTCTCTCCTAAGGGCATGCCCCTTGGGGTGACCCACTTTTGTGGGAGAGGGAGGACCTAACGGACCACCACACACACACACGCGCGCGCCGTCCGTCCGACCGACCGGTCGATCGGTTGGTTGGTTGGATGGATCACTTGAGACTATATACATATTTTTTAGAGAAATTCCGAACGAAATTAATTATTATATAATTAATTATTAATCAGTTATTCTGAGGAATATTCTAAGGGATAATCGATTGAAAAGGAATATTCGAAGGATAATCTCTGCAGGATTTATCCTAACCGACGGTTTTAATTAAGGAAGCAATTATCTTCCTTAATTAATCCGACTTATTCCCCAAGAAAGAGGGTATATTCCTAGGGGTTCGGCTCCTATAAATAGCCGCCTCCCCAGCCCCTCTAAACACACCACAACGAGCATAAACACAATAGAGAGAGTGTTCAGAGAGCTCCGGTTTTCGCACAAAACCGCGAGTACACAGAGGAGCTGTTTTATCCTGGAGACGACCGGTTGATAGTCTGCCGTGCGCATCGAGGGCAGTGCCGCGAACGTCTTAAAGAAAGCGACCTAGTCCGCGACTCAGCTCCAGATTCGGTATCCTCATCTTGTTGTTGTTCCGTTTCTAACACTTCTCCCTGGTATCTTTCTCTTGTAGCGGACGTCCCACCAGGTGGACAGACGACGATCTCAGCACCGTCGTGCTCATCATCTTCTCCGACGACTCGCAAAGAAACTCACCGCCGCCTCTCTTCTCCTTCTTCTTCTCCTTCCACGACGTTGAAACCATCACCCGGCGGCGATCCAAGCCTGATTTCGGCATCGCTATCGACCTCGACTCGTCGATCGAAGCCACCACGAAAGCTGCCTTCAATGGCACGTCCTGCTTCCCATCCCTCGTCGCCACGACTGGAGCAGAACGTAGGGCCTGCGTGATTTGCGTTGTCGGCGAAGTCAACTGGAGTATCTGCTCCAGCTCTACCTTTCGTTGTCGCTCCTTCTCCCCAATCGACAACATGCATATACTAGCTTCCAATCGTGGTGCTCCTTGCTCGACTCGCGGAGCCGGCGACCCAATCCAACGACTCCTTACCGCATCCATTTTACGTCGCAGGTCAAAACTGACGCAACCCTTCTTCCCCAGCGAATGGCACTTCTGGTCGCGAGAGGGTAAGCCCCAACCTGAGGCCTTGCTTTTTGACTCTGTCTCGTCGTCGGTCGTCGCCATCGCAGGAGCCCTCATCGTCTGCAACACCCCAACCTTGGTTCGCGCCACCGGCAATAGAACCCGAGAACCCTGCTCGGCCTCTTATGCACGTTGGTTACCAATACTGGCGGGAACCCGCGTCTTCTTGTCAGATACCACCACTGCTACCGTCGGCGGTCGTTGTTGTCTCTTCCTATACTTCCAGTTCACCAAGCCTCCCATCGTCGGTCTCCTTCCCGCACCTGTGGCCTTGATGTCGACGGCTGCTGAGCACTTGTCGATGTTGAAGGCCGCGGTTAGTGTGGTTTTCTAGCATGGAGTAGTTTCATTTTTCACTTGGGTGTTGTAGAACCCTAACTACTATCATGTAATTGATTGTGTGATGGTGGTGTTTAAATTAATAAATGAGGTATTTTTCATGGTGGTTGTGCATTGTGTGTTCTTGGAAATCTATTGTGCTATTCTAAGCTAGATTAGAAATAAGCCCCCTTATTTTAAGAGGCTCAAAATTGAGCTGGGCATTTTTAGGCATTCCATGCCTCCTAACTAGGTTAATGAAGGGCAAACGTCTACTTAAATTAGACACCTGGGTTAATTGTGATTATCCCGTCCAAGCCTTGGTTTGAGGGAGAAGGTAAGTCAACCCTCAATTTCTTGCGCAAGAGGGCTACAATTATAACCTCTAATGCTTACCTTGACCTAGCGTTTGAGGTTGGTTTCTAACCGTTGTTGCACCTCCTGCGGATCACAATTGCCTTGTCACACAGCGGTTCATTCGATCCCACGGTCATGGTAGTTAGTCAGGGGGGAAGCAACACCCGAGTGAAGCTTCTCACCAAGAGTTTTCCGCCCATTTACTTTTCAAAGTCTTAATTTTAAATCGTCGATTGCAGGGATTTCAATAAACAACAATCCGCTAGATAATGTTTCAAACAATCGTAGTAGTGGTACATGG